GCGAAGTGAAATAAAATGTAATAAGACTATTAATTTTAAACCAAGAGATTCAATTGCATCATTATTAGGATTTAAAAATCGTGAACTAAAACCGCCGGATATTATTCATCAATCTGATTCACCAATCAAAATTCTGAAAACTAATGCCTTGAGGATTGAATGTAATATTACAACTGGTGCATACATAAATAGCCAAAAAGTTCATACAATCCATGAGTTTTTTCCTAGTGTTGGACCAGGATATAAAATCATTGAGGTTTCATCACACGTCATTTACCTACCAATCGCTGTTAAGTCCATACATACTCTTCAGCTAAAGATTGTTGATCAGGATGGTGAATTAGTTAATTTCAGAGGTGAAACGATTACAATCAGACTGCATATTAAGTCTATAAGCAATGGGAATAGTATTTGATAAGAAGGTTGGTGGTAGCTATATAACCTCATCGCCATGTCGGAAAGCAGTCAGTCATCACTCAACATCCCAAGTGTTGACAGCTCAGAACGCACAGTTCCTCAAAAGCCTTGGATTAAAATTACGTGGAAAATCGGCAAAATAAAGAAGATCAATTTGTGCTGCGTTGTATCACCATGGCGGAAATCTTAGATATTCAAAAACCAATAATCTTTGATGAATCAGTTTCTCACTATGAAGTTCATTCTCATTTACCATATACATCATCATCATTAAATAATAGCGATGAAATTAGAATCAGTATTCAACATCAAGATCTGTGTATTTTACCAAGCAAAAGTTCATTACATATCTGTGGGAGATTTGTTAAAGAAGACAACACAGCTGTAACAGAATCTATGGAATTAGTCAACATGGCTATTTGTCATATGTTTGAGGAGATACGCTACGAACTGAATGCTGTAGAGATTGATAGATGTAAAAATGTTGGTATTACAAGCCTTATGAAAAATTATGTATCGCAGAGTCCAGGACGGGGGAATATTATGGAGAACGCGGGTTGGCTAACACAAGCAGCTAATAAATTAACCGATGCTGATGGTTATTTTGATATATCTATACCGCTAAGTTTCATATTTGGATTCGCTGAAGATAACAATCGCATTATTATTAATGCTAAACATGAATTGATACTTATATGATCAAATGCTGATACAAATGCATACATTCATAGGCCTGCAAACGCTCAAGCTGTTGCTGATAAAGTAAAAATTGTGCTCAATAAAGTGGAGTGGAACGTTCCATACATCACCATGTCTGATAAGCAGAAAATTCAAACATTAAACTTTATCTCTCATGATCCAGCGATCCCTTTGAGTTTCCAAACCTGGCAATTATATGAGTACCCACTGCTACCAAAAACTACCAAGCATGTTTGGCCAATTAAGACTTCTACTCAGCTGGAAAAACCACGATACGTAATTTTAGGATTTCAAACTGCAAGAAAAAACGTTGCAACAAAAGATGCAAGCAAATTCGATCATTGTAATATTAGAGATGTGAAGCTATTTCTTAATTCTCAGAGTTATCCTTATGGAAATTTAAATCTTAACATAAGTAGAAATCAGTATGCATTAATATATGATATGTTTACTAATTTTCAAGTTTCATACTACAATAAAGATCCAGAGCCTCTATTAACGAAAGCTAAATTTTTAACTGACGCACCACTCTACATTATAGATTGCTCAAAGCAAAATGAATCAATCAAGTCTGGACCTGTTGATATACGAATTGAATTTGAATCGGAAAATCAGTTCCCTGATAGTACAGCTGCATACTGTCTGATATTACATGATCGTATTATTGAATATAATTCTATCAGTAGTAATGTAAGGAAAATAACATAAATTTATATTGAAATGCAAATAAAATAAACAATTTAAAATTTAATAAACGTTTATTATTTAATTTATCCCATATTACAAAAGTATTTATTATAATTATTATTATTTAACGCTAATTATGATGGATTAAATTATTTTCTTCGTCTACACTCATAACAATTTTTCTTGATTGAGTAGAGCCAGATGCCGCAAACATCTTGATCAGGTTTTCTTCTTCAATTCGATAATGCTCCATGCAGTATTTATACTCCTCAATCAATTTATTCTTCTGTAGATGACCTGGTAGCTTATCCCAAATATCTTTGATTTGCTTCAGAGCTACTTTGAGAAGAAATTTCTCATCTAAGCATATGATATCGATAGCATGCATTCTGGATAAGCTTGTGAGATTATAAAAAATTTCAATGGACTTTTCATATGAAGCTCCAGCACCCCAAAATTCTATGATCCATCGTTTAAATCGTTGAGCAGTTTCGTATGCGCAAGCGTAATTGAAATTCATTGAATGATGACACCGATTCTCACAGCGATAAATTTTATAAAACATAACAGCTTCAGGAGAATACAAACGCATATTTTCGATATTAATAATTGGAAGCGTGGTATCAGTCATCAGATCGAGCCAATTTACCTTCCATGCACCATGCACATAAATAGTACGCGCATTATCTGTTAAGCTTTTTATAACATTTTTTCGCATATCATATGGTGTAGCACCAGTATCCCATTGTATTCCATGTTTGTAACCCTTGTAATCGGTGGTTTCTGAAACCCACCCTTCATTAGGATTATCAAACGGTGGTTTAAAGATGTAATATCTACGAAATACTTATTCCATACATTTTGAGCATGTTGATAATCCTCATTTGAAATATTATCATCAGTAAGTTTCGAGTAGAAAAACGTTTTTTCAGGTAAATGATTATAATTCAGTTTATCAATTGAGTCAATGAACTCATAGGGAAATACACCTTTACGAGTAACTAATTTAAACTCATAAAAATCAGAATAATACTTTTTAGTTATTTTTTTGTGACTGTCGGTAAGGTTGCCCGCTAATTTTTCAATGCTTGATGCCATGAAGCGAAATGAGTCAATGAAGCGGAGTGAAACAGATGTACCTGCGATAGCTTTCGTGAAAGAGATATATCTCTCTTTGTTCACAGGTAGAATATTTAAGTTCCCTTTAAACCCTGTTGCTAATGAGCTTATAATAAAATGCGAGTCATAACCAGATAAGTTATGAAACACTACTGGAATCGTAAATGATTGTCTATAATTTAGGTTACACGCTTGATGGCTTGGACCTCTATAATTTCCAGTTAAGTGATTATGATCCTTGCATCTTATTTTATCTTCAGATGAAAAAATTTTACCACATATATGGCAATTTTCAGCCCTTTCATGATAATTCTGTTCCTTTGGAGTAAGCTGCTTCATCTTTACAATATTTTTGAAAAGTTTATTTACTTTTCTGCCTATAGATTCTAATTTGCCAACAAGCCAGCTTACACAGTCTGGTGAACGATTAAGTTCAAATTTTGAAAGAGAATCATCATAATTACAATGCAGATAATATGCCGCGCTATGTGGTATATGTTTTTCAATCTTATCAGATTCGGTTTTTAAAATGCATTCGAAATCTGCATATATAATAAAGGGAACTTGATCTTTATATTTATAATTTTTAAAACTTAAAATCTTATCTTCATCTTTCTCAGGTAATCTCATTCTAACGTTATTAAATTTTATACAGTCCAACTGATGTTTCTGAAGTGACTTTTGAAATTTAAAATGACACAAGCAACGATCACCAAACCATAATTTTGAGCGTGAATCTGATATTTGCGATTTTACAAGTCGAGATAGATTTCTTATTAGAGCGAAGTGGAAAATTGTTTGAAAGTTTTCAAGGTTTTCATAATTTATATCATTATCAGTATTTTCATCACCGTAGAAACATCTTCCAGACTCCACCATTAAGAAATGAATTGTTTTTCTATTTTAAATCTTAGATGGACGGTGTGGCTTAATGTATATAGAATAAGTGAAAGGAAATTTAGTATAGACCGGATAGCTCAAATAGTAGAGTAGCCGACATGTCTTCGGAAGGTTCTGGGTTCGAATCCCAGTCCGAGCTATCTAATAATTTTTTCTCGCATATTCTATACACTCACATTAAGATGATCCTCTCCATAATCCTTTCTCAATCCTTTCCTATCAATAATCCTGTTACGTGAATGTTGGAACGCTTCACGTAATAATTATCCGTAACTCCTATTCTTTCCCGCTTCACAGCATTATTTATATTTGTTAAAAAATATAGGAGTTACGGATAATTATTACGCTAATCCAACAAATATATATGTAAAACTCTCATAACTTTGAACGGCTTGACCGATTTGATCGCGGTTGGCGCGATTTGAAAGGGTTCGACTAAACTTAGAATCTGAATACAAGTTGGACCGATTCGGACTGATAGATTTTGAGAAATCTTAAAAAAACTGCGAAAACAAATTTTTTCAATTGTGGTTTTTTTTGAATAACTTTCAAACGGCTCAACCGATCAATTCCAAAAACTAATCAGCTCTTAACCTAAAAAAACTACGTCAATCATCGCTAATCCGGTCAAAATAGGTTGATTCGTTCATGGAGTATCGATGACGAAAAAAATTGATTTTTTTCAAATTACACTGAAATATTTCATCTAATCAATTAGTGCTTTTAATTTTTCAATAAGACCAAAAAAAACAACGTCGATTGCCGCCAACCGTTTGAAAATTAGTTGATTCATTTAAAAGTTCTGGCTGTTTGAAAATTAAAAAAATAGTATTTTATTAAATTTTCATCAGATTTAAGAGCTTGAAGAGCTTAAAAGTATTTAATAACTCTCTCTTTGAGCTCAGACAGCTCAAAAATGACAAATCAGATGAAATTTGAGCACTAAGCGGGAAGTTACAGAGATAGCCGTTTGAGTCAACCATTATCCGAATTTTTATTATCTCCTTAAAAAAATTAAAGATTAATTTAAAAAAAAATTAGAAAGCTATTGATTCAAATTTGATTATTGATAAGCCCAAAAATGTACGATAAGTTCTATTGTAATGCACGAAGATCAGAATTGCTAAAATGGTTCATCAGTGATGAACACCTCTAAATTCGAGAGTTTTTAGTTTTAATCAACCTTCGATCACTGCAAGAATAACCGAGTTCAATCCCGGTCTACGAGCTGCATTCGTATCACTTCTACTGGAACTGCCTCTCAAGTTACTGGCCAACAGTACATCTTCCTCGAATAATGCTCGCACCAGAGATATCCCCATAGTGGTATAGGAATTTTGGGCTGTAGCTGTATCCCACTGCTGCTGATTAACAAAAACGTTGGAACCTGGATGACCTATTTCAACCTGCGATTGTAAATAATAGAGTTACAGAGAAGTCATGTCAACTTCAGGTGTTAATGAATCGTAAAGGTGTAAAATAACAATTCACACGTTGAAAATTCTTTCTCGATTAGAACGAAATTATCATAATAATTATGATAATAACGTCTATTCTCAAGAAATAATTATTTATACGCCTTAAGGGGGGGGGCTGCTTTAGAGGTTTCAAAAAATCGATTTTTTTTTTGCATAAATGTCTTCCCAAACTATCCCAGAATGTGTCCCTAAAATTTCAGAAGGAAATTCAAAGTATTTTCGGAGTTACAGGAGAAATAGTGAGCAAGCGTTGAGTAGGTATATGAGCGGCCGGATCGCTCGTAGTGCCCGCGCTCTGCCTCTCGATCAATACATACATAAAAATTTTTTTCTTTGAAAAAAAAACTTTTTTTTGGTAATCACAAAAAGTGTAAAATGATGTTTATAATTACGTTTAAATAATTCTGAAATACAAAATTTGTCACATTTCCTATGAGATGTTTTGTCTGCTCTGCTACTACGTAATAGTAAAATCATTATTTATTTTATTATTTAAATAAGTGTTATATTACAATGAAATTCGGTAAGATAAATAAATTATGAATTATGACTATCCAAATATATTATAAAATCAATTTTTATATTATATTTATGATAAACTCATATGATACATTAAGTAGATCATAGAATCATTATTGTCTAAGATAGCAGCACAGCAGACAGAAACTTCAAGACGCACGGAGATCACCAAAGTTAAGCAGCATTGAGCAGGGTTAATAGTTGGATGGGTGACCACTGGTGTTATAGCCATAAAATTAGATCTAGATATTTTTTTTGCATTTTGATCGGTTAAATCGGTTAGATCGGTTAAATTGCATTTTGATCCATAAAATTAACCCAATAATTAATTAGATGTAATAAATCTATAATTAAATATTGTTATATATAATTATATATAGTTATATATAATTATACATAATTATATATAATTAGATATGATTATATTTGGCCATTTTTCATATATAATCATATATAACCAATTTATATATAAATATATATAATTATATATAAATATTTTTTCTCGGGTATACATTTACATATTTTACATATACTGCAATGCTAATATGTATAGAAAGTTGTAAGCTCTATCTAGAAACAGTAAGTGTGTCTAAAGTTAATTTTTTGGTAGATCAAGTCAGCCCTGCTCAGAACTTAGTAAACCTGAACGCGGCCATTGGTACGCCATCAATACTGAAATTAATTGATATAGTATCGTCTTCTTTATGAATTCTACTTTTGTAAAGCTTTCCGTCATAAATATGTTCGATAAAAAAATTACAAATTTTTGTCCGGTTTTTTGAATATAAATTATGAGCATTTGTTGTTTCAAAAATTTCTGTGAGCTGTTCTTTTAGTGGTAGTTGTAAAAAAAATCCTTCTTTAGCTTCTGGGTTAATTTTAGAATTGCATTTTTCACAAATATTTGTCGCATCGATAGTTAACCCTAAATAAAAACCGCATTGAATACAAATATAATGAACTTGAACATTTTCGGAGTAATGATTAATTATTTATTTCAGAAATATTTTGAATTTGAATTGTTTAATTTATTTAATGAGATTTTTGATAATTTTAAAGAATCTAAGGCAGCAGTATAAGTCACTCCGTGTCTCCACTTGGTCGCCATAAAAAGTAAATAACTTATCAAATCGTCTTTCGATAAATTGAGACTGTTTTGTTTGGTTCGACATTTTTTAAAAAGAGGATTTTCTAAACTTACATTCTGATTTTGGTAGTCATTATTATCGTCGTAGTTATTCTCACACTCCAACAATTGATTATCCTTAAATAATGAAAGTAATTGAATTTAAAGATATTACACTATTGTTATCAAAATCAAGAAACATTAAAAGAATTAAAAAATTTTAAGTGACTTTCAACAGGTTGTAGCAAAAAATTATTTTTTTTTGTTTTATACTTTTAAAAAATAATGTTTAATTAATCACCAAGAGGACTTTTTTACATCCTTATGGTTTTTAGAATAAGCATTGAGAACTGTGAGGGTGTACAAATATGTTTTTACATTATTGACATCTACTTCAAGTAACAAAATTTTTTGCTCCATCTTTATTATGGTCCCGAGTGCCATGAAGGCGTAAAATAATTATACACCTTTATGGTGATTGTAACGCGAAGTGATATATTCATGTAAATAAACAAAGATATATTACTTGTTTTTTTATTGTATTATTATTATCATGGTGAGTATCAATTAGGGTGATTCATTTCCGCAAAATTTTTTTTTTTTTCGGTGCTCATGAAAAATATTAATCTACATATAGAAAAAAAAATTCCTACCAAGTTTGAGCTCTTAATATTAATTTTAAGTACTTACAATAAAAATTTAAAGTTTTACCATTTAGAATGCATGT